ACAGGATAAGGTAACACATGGCATTAGTTTCCATAAAAAAAGCAAGTAAGCAAACTTAATTTGATTAGTTTAGTTTGGCTTCTGAATTTGTTCAGGTCACACATCGCCCATGGCTAAAACAGTCAGAGGTGGACTGGCTAATCAGGAGTATAGAGTTATTAAACTCATCATACAAATCATCATCTAGAGCATACATATCAATGGATAATTATGATCCAATAAAAAGTATATAGTATTGTATATGATTCTGAAATGTCCCATTCTACATGTTGCTTTTAATTATTTAAGGTAATGTAAATGCATTTTTGTCACGCAACTTGTTCAGTATTAAGCTAATTAACTATAATTACAATTTTGAATAAAGTAAAAAGTCTAAGCAAATGTTTTCACTTGTCCAACACAAAATGACACTGTAGCATAAAGCATTTTTTAAATCATTTATCTATTATTATCATTGCTACGATCATTCTGAGCACGGAGCCATGAGGCAGCCTTCATAGCCAGAAGCTCCCACTCATCCTTTGCTTCCATCTTGAAAGCATGAAGCCAGATCAGAGCCAGAATGGTGGCCCACACTTCACTGTTGGCCTAATTCATTAAATCAACAACAATTAAATGAAACAGAGCAGACTGGAATCACGATCTTCTGTCTAGAAATGAAGCACAAATAAAGCTTTGAAATGTTTTCACAACTGTTTTGACCGATGAGGAAAAACCCTCTCTGCTGCTCTATGCTAATATGAATATCAGACTTTTATGGTCACCTATAGTCTTCCCTGGCTGATACCATCTGGTTTGTCTTCTCACTTTCTCTCTCTCCTGTTGGCTATTGGTGTTTTATTGTGGTCTGTGCTCCCGGGTGGGTCCCTCTCTGGGTTTCCACCTGAAGCCCCTGATGTAATCACCTACCTGTGACCGATCTCATCCGTGTTTAAACAGACACACACCACCTTCCTGTGATATACCAGTCAGGTGTGTGTCTCACAATCTAAATACCAAATTTCTAGTAATTGTTTTTAAGTTTTGCTAAGTAAAATGAAGCAGCAGTGTCTATACTTATACTGTAAGCGATAGTAAACATCATCAGAACATGGGCACAGGAAAAGTGGATGCTCTTCCTGGCTTTTTTTATTAGTAAAAAACTAACAAGAAGTCACAAGCAAAAGGACAACACACCATGGCACATGTTTAAACAAGGAAGGTTTATTCATCTTTGATTTATTATCAAAATAGACATAATTTTTTCAATCCACAAAAACTACATATTCAAAGAACCACATCAGCACAATATCAAACAGAACTGTCCCATGATGTTAAACAGACGCTGTCAATTCAGCTGTATAGTGGGCAATCATAATGAAACCGTTCATTAGAAGTTTTAGATTCAAGCTGCTTTTGGCCAGCAGATGTCACCAAACATGACTGTGTTGAAAAGCTCTGAGTAATGAAACGTTTTTCAATATCAGCTTCAATGCTTCAGAACAATATCAAACAGAACTGTCACATGATGTTAAACAGAAGCTGTCAATTCAGCTGTATAGTGGGCAATCAAACTGGAAGCACAACAAATACGGAGAAGCGGAGAAAGACACACAAGCTTAACACTGGAAACAAGGGGAGCATTGGGACATGACTTACTGGTGTGACCAAGAGTGTCCACTGTTTGTCCAATCAAACATCCAATAATTTCAAATCAACAAACCACTGCTGCACTGTGGTGATAGTTTGTACACAGGCAAAAGCAGTCCAATGTGCAAAATTTGAAAGTTGCTTTTTATGGTCAGTTTATCCAGTTTGGCAAGCGATAACCAAAGATCAATTTTTATTGTTTCCTGCTGTTTCTCCTGCTCTTTCCCAAAGGCCCACTCCAGTTCATGCTGGACCGATACAAACCCTTATAGAAAATGGCCCTACAGTTCTTCCTGCCTTACTTATAAAGATAAAGAACAAAAACAAAACAAAAAATTAAGCAATTATTGATAGCTTTGCAACCAGTAGTATTAAATATTTTTGGCTGCTTCTTTGTCACAAGGTGTCACCAAGATGTGTAGCTCTGCATATTTGATTTGGCCGATTATTACACTGGATGCTGTTCCTGATGTAATCACAAACTGTGATGCTCTAAAATAATGTGCTGAAATACTTTGTCAAGAACTGATGATGAGAAAAGTAATTTTGCTGTGTGTGGTTACTGTGTTTTATCTTCTGATATACAGATGTTTACTTTCATGCTGTGAGGCAAGCCTCCGTTTAGTTTGACATCTTTTTGTTTGGTTTGGTCTGTGTCGTGTGTTGCTGTGTCTCCAGGAACAGATACGAAGTTCAACCCAACACAGCTTTCTTTTCACAAACTGGACAAGAAAAAACATCTAAAACCCTCGTTGGAGATAATAACTACATGATACCTGTTAACTTTTTTTTTAAGTCAGTCTTTCCGCACGAGGGTCTGCGAGCACTCGCGATAGAAAGGGCGTTTAACTAGTCACGTGACGCTTCTTACGCGTACAGCGCAATCCAGTCAGAGACTTTATCAGGTGATGATAATAAAACGGTAATTAAAAATCTATTTAAAAAAAACAAACAGTATATCATAGTAAAAAAGAGCACCGCTGGAAATAAGAAAACATTTCCTGCTGCAGAAAATTTGCAATGTGACTCACTCGGAGTGCGCTCTCAGTGCTGCTGTTTACTCCCAACGTGACGTCTCCTTAAACATTTAAATCGTCTAAACATAATTTTAATGAGTTGACACACGTCTACTAAAATTGAGCCTTCGCTTCTACAAAGATTCGCATTAATATGGCGACTCTGCGACTAGAAGCATCTGGATTATGTTGTCACGGATTATTATACACGTTGGAAAACGCCACCAGAAAACCAGTTAAGCGGCAGCACCGGGGACTTCTCCGACCCTCTGCTAACTTCAAGTCAGAGGACTTCGTCCCGACGATGAATGGCATCTCTTTGCTCTCGTGACAGAGTGACTGTGCACCCACCCGATTATATGTGACACTTCAGTCGTTCCGTTTTGTGAAACTGTATAGGTTATACTGTGTGTTTTTGACTGTGATCCGAAAACATTTTTTAAAAAAGACAATAATGAATCCGGAAATAAAAACCGATGATGTGACATTAGGAATGAACTAACTCATAAAGAACGGAATGGTTAAGAAAAACCTGTGAGATATGAAAGTGTGGCGCTGGAGACCGCTAGTGAAGAATGATGTGCAATAGAAGCTTACTTCTATGGACAGACCAATGACTGTAGAAAACAGACGTGTGTATCCTGACAGGTTTCGTTTTCTTTTTCTTCCTCTTTATACTGTTTAAGAGATAACTGTCTCCTCTCTCCTGTTCCTCCCTGTGCTTCTCATTTTTTTTATTTCCCTTTGTATTTTATAAAACCATCTCTCTTACCTCTCTTCCTCCCATTGCCTTTGCCACCTTTCTTTTATTTTGTGCCATATTCTACTCTTGATTGCTGTCCTACTAACACTGATTTCCATATCCATAATGGTCTCTTTGTAGCTTCCTTTGCTGTTCTGTCTGCCATATCATTTCCCTTAACTCTATGATGCGCTGGTACCCATATGAGGGTGACCATAAGCCCCATCATAGTAATTCTATATAATGTTTGCTGAATCTCTATCAGAATGTCAGGTCTGCAATCTGAGTGACTGTCTTGCAAACTAACGAATGATGAACTTCAGTCTGAGCATATCACTGATCTTAGTGGTCTTGCATCGTCAGTCCACTAGACAGCCAATGGTATTGAAACTACTTCTCCCATGTACACTGATGAAACATCACTGATTCCTTTTCTTACTTATCAATATATATACTAAAAATAAAAATACAATAACAGTAAACAATGCAGAACACCAACATCAAAAATATAATAAAGTCAACAGGCAATAAAAAGAGAATTAATTTTTACTGTATATATCTTTCATTAATCAGCATAAATACCCCTATAAACATTTAGTTGGCCCACAGATGTAGAAATTGTTCAAAAGAAAATTCCAATAAATTCTGATTATATAGCACTCATAACAGGGTATATAATACAACAGCGAATTGAAGGCAGTATGGTGTAATTAGATCTGCTTCTGTTGACTAGCCCCGAAGGTTAAGCCACTTTGAAAACAAGATGTAAAAATCAAAAGTGGCTTTATTGCTGAAGTTAGATAAAAAAAAAATATAATACAACAACCACACAGTCTACGCAGAAACCACAAACTCACAAGCGAGGCTCGTTTGGCTTGTAAGAAAGAACATTGAAAATGTCTGGCTATTATCTTTA